CGAGGTGCAGGAGATCGAGACCATCCTGCTAACCACGGTGAAACCCGCGTCTCTACTACAAAAATAACAAAAAACTAGCGGGCCGAGGTGGCGGTCGGCCTGTAGTCCAGCTACCCTCGGTGAGGCTGAGGCAGGAAAGAAAGGCGGGAACCCGGAGGCGGAGCTTGGGCAGTGAGCCTGAGATCGGCCGACAGCCCATCCAGCCTCGGGCGACAGAGGCGAGACTCCGTCTCAAATCAAAAAAAAAAAAAAAAAAAATAACAGGCCGGGCGCAGTGGCTCACGCTTGTAATTCCCAAGCACTTTGGGGAGGCCAAGGCAGGCTGGATCGACCTGAGGCGGGAGTTCAAGACCAGCCTGAACAACATGACGAAACCCCGTCTCTACTCAAAAATGACAAATTAGCCGGGGTGGTGGGACATGGTCCTTAATCCCCAGCTAGCTCGGGAGGCTGAGCCAAGGAGAATCACTTGAATCCGGGAAGGCAGAGGTTCTGCGGTGAGCCCGAAGATCCGCGCACATTGCACTGCCAGCCGGGCAACAAAGAGGCAAAACCTCCTGGTCTCAAAAAAAAAAAAAAAAAAAAGAAAAAATACACAAAAAATTAACAAAAATAGCCAGGCATGTGTTAGTCCACAGCTTGTATCCCAAGCTAGCTAGGGAGCCGCCGTGGGTGGAGGATCACCTTAAGGCCCAGGAGGCGAAGTGTTTGCAGTGAGCCTACGATGGCACCACCACTGCACTCTAGCCTGGGTGACAGAGCAAGACCCTGTCTCCAAAAAAAAAAAAAAAAAAGGGTAAACCACAAAACCACAACTCCACTGTAAGAGGAGAGGCAACTGGAGAAAGATCCCAGGAGGTTATATTCAACAACGGAGCAACAATACAGTAGTCTTGCCAGATATCCACAGCCTTTAAATGGACATATTCTACTTGGTTCATCACCTTTATAATCTATAAAAGTTTTCAAGTTTTCTGGATAGTTCTACCCAGTTGATAACAATTACCCTGCCAAGTAAATCACTCACTATAACTGAATAAACCAGCAATCTGGTTTATCAGTCAGTCTCTCTTGCTCAATTGACAATCCCTAAAAGTTCATCCATTCCTGTGTGAGACGGTATATCTGACAATTCAGTCAAAGGAAGTTGGTCAAATCCCACAACTGACTGCCAAAGACAGAAATATCTAAACACAAAAATACTACAACTAATTACAGGTAGTAACTAGGTTCTAAAGAAATTATCTCCTAAGTAGATTTTAATATAAATTTTGAACAGTTATAGAAAATAAAGATGGCCTTTGGGTCAATAACAGAACATACCAAAAACACTAAAAATTTCTGTACATAAACACACGCATATCACAAGTCTAGTCAGAAAGAAATACACAGAAAAACAAGATAGAATTTTAAAAAATAATTTGCAAGGGAAGTTCTTAACGCTTTAGTTCTAAAATATTGTCTTCCTTTAGAAAAAATTTAAGACTGGAATAATAGATTTTTTTTTTTTCCTGCAATGCTGTAATTATTGCAAATTTATCAGCAAAGAGGTAAACAGCAATGCAATTTTTCCTTAAGCTTGAACACATAAGGGAACACTAAAGAAACCTGATTAGACCTGAACTAATTAAAGTCACACCAGTAATATTCAGGCCAGCTCTGGTCTCTAGGTAGAATTCCAGGACAGGTTTGTATCACTGGGTCCATTCCCAATAGGCTGGATAGGAGAGTCCAGAGTAATTGTCAGGATACCACCTTCTTCTATCCTGGGCTGCCAGACTGGCACTGGGCTTCACATTCCAAGAGTACCTCCTGCGTGAACAGTCCTCTCCAGGAGGACCAGGAGGAGGGAGATGGCCTCTCTGGTAAACATGTGGATTCTGTGAAAATTTTCTTAAAGCAAAACAAAAAGTAATAAGCCATTACTAGGATTAGTACCATAATTTTTATTTATTTTAAATTTATATTTTCATAAAATACTTTAAATTTATAAATTTACAAAATAATATATATTCTACTGTTTTCTACCTGTGTGACCTTAGCAGATAGAACACTTAATTTTTATTTCCCTAACTTCTTTATAAAATGGGGCTAATAATACTTTTCACCTTCATGAGCTGTTATGAAGCTAAATTAAGAAAATACATTTCAATTTCCTACAATGCTCTGGCACACCGTGGATTCCCAGAAGCCTTTCCACCTTTCCCTACAGAGATAAATGCACGCCCATACTATTCTAATCAAATACTTTCTCTCCCAAAGTCTGGCAGGGTTGACATAAGATAGAATAAGCTATTTAGTACTGAAAACAGCTGCTTCCACTTTATAAACAAAGATACATAAATTAATTATAAAGTGTGAAAAACTTTAAGCATGCTACATGCAACAAATTTGAAAAATTAGGATTTAAATTTACTTGTTTGAAAAGCAAGATCAGAAAATCTCAAATAATTATACAAAAGAAAATTTGGGGCTGGGTGTGGTGGCTCACACCTGTAATCCCAGCACTTTGGGAGGCCAAGGCAGGCGAATCACCTGAGGTTGGGAGTTCGAGACCAGCCTGACCAACATGGAGAAACCCCGTCTCTACTAAAATTATAAAGTTAGCTGGGTGTGGTGGTAGGTGCCTGTAATCCCAGCTACTTGGGAGGCTGAGGCAGGAGAATCGTTTGAACCTGGGAGGTGGAGGTTGTGGTGAGCTGAGATCACACCACTACACTCCAGCCTGGGCAACAAGAGCAAAACTCCGTCTCGAAAAAGAAAATTTGGAAATCTGAGAAAAGAAAAACCCCCCACTGCAGAGCCCTCAATCCCACTTACTATAATTCAATTAGTTAGTATTTCCTTTTGTTCTTTTCCCTAGCATCTTTTTCTGACTGTTGAATCACAGCCTATTATTTTCACTTATCATAAATGAGCTAACACTTTCAGTGGCTTTATAAAATGTTACAGTATGGATATGATTATTTAGCTACATTCTCCACTGTTAGAAATACAGCAGTTACAAGTTTTTCCACAACCACAAATAATGCTGGGATTAACACTGCAAAACATATACTACTGTATCCTGAGCTAGCCCAGCATCTGACACACGGTAGGGAGTTTGAGAAATGTACTGAATGATTAATATAGTTTTTTCTGTATTTTGAAGTATTTCCTTAGTCTCAGAATGAAATCACTAGGTAAAGTATTTTTATGGTTCTTGAAATTGTGCTTCAAAAGGCTTATGCCAATTTTCAATGCTGTAAGCAACATGTTTTTGAAATGTTTGTTTTCATCTTTTTAAAATGTCAGTTTTTTTTAAGGTTTTTTCTTTTTTCTTTTTTTAACAAAAACAGGATTCCAGCATGTTGCCCAGGGTGGTCTGAAACTCCTGGGCTCAAGCAGTCCTCTCACTTCGGCCTCCCTAAGTGCTGGGATTACAGGTGTGAGCCAATGCGCCTGGCCTAAAAATGGCAATGTATTTTTGGAAGTGTTTACAATGTGCCAAACTGTTTAAATTCATGTTAACTGTCAGTAACAACCACTATGGGGTATGTATTATTAAAATATCTATCTGACTGATGGAAAAATGTAAATGTAGATAGGCTAAGTATCTTATCCAAGATCACAAAGCAGGCAAGTAACAGAGCCAAGATGCAAATCCAGGTCCAGCCTGACAACCACAATGGAGTGCTTATCAAAAACTGTTGCGAAACTGGCTGGGCGAGGCGGCTCATGCCTGTTTAATCCCAGCACTTTGGGAGGCTGAGGCAGGCGGATCACCTGAGGTCAGGAGTTCAAGACCAGCCTGGCCAACATGGTGAAACCCCCATCTCTATGAAAATACAAAAATTAGCTGGGCGTGGTGGTGGTGCCTGTAATCCCAGATACTCGGGAGGCTGAAGCAGAACTGCTTGAACCTGGGAGGTGGAGGTTGCAGTGAGCCAAGATTGCACCACTGCACTCCAGTCTGGGTGACAGAGTGAGACTCTGTCTCCAAAAACAAACAAACAAAACTGTTGCTAAACTAATAGGCAAAGAATAATACCTTGCTATTTGTGATGGTTAATTTTAGGTGCCAACTTGACTGGGTTAAGAGATACCTAGATGGCTGGTAAAGTATTATTTCTGGGAGTGTCTGTGAGGCTGTGCCCAGAGGATACCGGTGTGTGAGTAGGTGGGAGGATCCACCCTTAGTATGGGTAGGTACCACCCAACAGGCTGGGGGCCTGGATAGAACAAAAAGGCAGAGGAAAGGCAAATTGTGCTCTCTCCTGGAGGTGGAATACCTTACCTTCTCCTACTCTTGGACATCAGAACTCCAGGCTTCATGGCCTTTGGACTTGAGGACTCACACCAGTGTCCTCTAACCTTTACCAGATTCCCAGGCCTTCAGCCTTGCATTGAGAGTTACTCCACTGGCTTCCCTGGTTCTGAGGCCTTCTGACTTGGACAGAATGCTACGAGCTTCCCTGGTTCTCCAGTTTGCAGACAGCCTACTATGAAACTTCTCAGCTTTCATAAGTGCATAAGCTGATACCCCGAATAAAAAAGCCCCTCCTCCCATCCACCCACCCACCCATCCATCCATCCATCTATCCATCCATCTATCCATCCATCTATCCATCCATCCGTCCATCATCCATCCATCCATCCATCCCCTCCTACTGGTTCTATCATTCTGGAGAACTCACACTAATGTACCACTTTAACCATACCGAGGCTTTCCCTATTTTCCAAGTGAAAATACTTTTGCTGTTTATCTGTTCAGATCCTTTGCAATTTCTCTGTTAGGATTTTATTATTTTTCTTATAATTCATATCAACTCCTTAAATAACAATCTTCCTTATTCTAAAAACTATACTACATGAATGTAGCCTAAGAATATAAGATCCTTTTTGATAGCCACATCAAACTCTTGGCTTAAGTTTAAAATCAATGAAAATTTCTAAGTCCCTTTCCGAATTGCCTCCGAAAAGTCACATATTCCCTGTCCTGTAACTGATTTTCCAGTGCTAAATGCAAAATACAGAGCAGAATAATATCTCCTGGTTCAAACTGATCAGCAAGAATTCCTTATCGGCCGGGTGCAGTGGCTCACGCCTATAATCCCAGCACTTTGGAAGGCTGAGGCGGGTGGATCACAGGGTCAGGAGATCAAGACCATCCTGGCTAACACGGTGAAACCCCATCTCTACTAAAAATACAAAAAATTAGCCGAGTGTGGTGGTGGGGGCCTGTAGTCCCAGCTACTCAGGGGGCTGAGGCAGGAGAATTGCTTGAACCCAGGAAGTGGAGGTTGCAGTGAGCCGAGACTGTGCCACCATACTCCAGCCTGGACGACAGAGCAAGACTCTGTCTCCAAAAAAAAAAGAAAAAAAGAATTCCTCATCAGTATCATAACATGTTTTCATTAATTATAGTATTAATTTCTATCTCAATTCTAGAAAAGGGACAGCAGAGAGAGGTACCTGACTGATTGATGCAAATTTTGGGTCTGGGTGTGGAAATGTCGAGGAGTTGAGTGACCCTGGATCTGATGTAGATTATACCTAGGTCCTCGTTTAACAGGCTTATTCATGGTGTGGACTGGTTGCATGAGATGTGCTGAGTCTTCAAAACTTGACCTGGGTACACTGGAATTCCAATTCCTTAAAGAGAATATTTCCACACAATATTACTGGTTTCCAAATTTAGTAGTCGATTTAGTGACTATACTTTGGCATATGAAAATAACAATTTCTTCCTTCTCCCATTCCTGTTTGTTTATGTCTCCCCCCGCCAAATAAACCAGCTACCAGAAGAATGGATATATGCAACTTAAATTATATAAAAAGAGATCTCCCTGACCCACAAATCTCACATATGTAACATAAGACTTACTTTCTGATAGGACCATTCTGAAGGTCTTCAATGTAGTTTTGTCTTTCTAAGCAATGTCCCCGGCACCTATTGAATACTGAGGAGAGGATAAACTGTTAGAAATAACTGTACAAAAAGCAAATCTTTTCAGAAAAAGCAAATTAAGCTGAAATTCACTATTCAAGCTGTTATATCTCACTACTTCCACATCCATCTATAGACTTTTGGCAAGACTATCTTATACTGGAACAAACGAATTACAAACTTCTTTTTTTCCAAAATTTGAGAAATTCTTCTACATTTCCACCTTTAACTTTAATAAAAAGGGAAAAATAGTGACAACCCTCATACTTACATTCAATTGCATCATCTGGCCTCATGCCTTCTACATCAATCAAATATCTAACAAAACAACATAATTTGGGTCATTTATATATACGAAAAGAAAAAAATCAAGTTTTTTCAAAAAAGGTCCAATTTCAACTTACAGACATAGATATAAAAATCCTAAGAAAATATCAGCATATCGAATCCAGCAGTTATTAAAGAATGACATACTATGACCACAAAAAGACGTTTTTCAAGAATGCAAGGATGACCCAACTCCAGAAAATCTATTTATATTTTTATTTACATTAATGTAATTTAATAAACAAAAGGAAAGAAAATGCAGAATCATTTTTTATCAAAACACTTTATACACTAAAAATAGAGACTTCCATAATATGACAGAGTATCAGAAACCAACAACAAACAAAAGACAAATTGGGAAAAATATTAACATTATATCTAAAAAATACTGTATAACCAACAGAAGGGCCAGAAACTTGGAAGTCACCATCACTGTCAGCCACTTCTTCCATACTCTTATCTTCAATTCACCACCAACTCCTGACAACAATATTACCTAAATATCTCTATAGAATATATCTGTATCTTTCCACCAAAATGACCACCATGCCCTGGTCCAATCCATCATTATGCCTCAATTCCTACAAACACCTCCCAAGTTGTCTCCTTGCTTCTACCTCTTTCCCTCTGCAGTGTATTCTCCACTCAACAGCAAAATGATAGGTTGAAAATACAAATTTGTATATATTCCCCACACTCATCCCCAACAAAAAAAATTCAATGGTTTTCTCTTGCTCTTAAGGTAGTGACTAAAACCCTAAACATAGCTCTGCATGGTTTTAGCTCCTACCCATATTTCCAGCTCCATTTTAATGCCATACTACTCCCATGGCCCAGTCTCCCTGGCCAGCGCCTCCAACACAGTATGTTTTCCTGTTACATGGTCTCTGCTGATCCTTAGGTTCAGAATTCTCTCCACGACATCCTTACCTGGTTAACACCTACTCATACTTCAGATATTTGCTCAGACCTTCCCACAGAAACCTCTAGCCCTCTTGTTGAAGTCAAATCCTCCATATTCTACGCTCTCATTGTACCACATCACTCTCCTTCTCAGCACTTGTTGGAGTTGTAATGCTATAGGCATGTGTGTGATTCTTTAATATCTACTCCCTCCCTAGACTGTTAGGATGCACAAAGAGCAGCTAGAGTCTCTTTGCTAGCACCCAGCACAGTGCCTACACATAATAGATGCTCAGGAGATATTTTCTGAATGAACAAACATAACTCAGTGCAGTGTGGCAACATCCATAAAAAGCGTTAAGGACACATACTATTTGATTCAGAAATTCTATTTTGAGTGAAATTACCTCCGGGGCTACGGCATATGTATTCAAAAATATTTACATATAAATGTTTACTACTTCAATGTTTTATAATATCAAAAACTTCTGACTTTTGTGTTCATCGGTATGCAAAGAACAACGCAGCCCTTAAAAAGAATGAGTCCAAGTATTTTCATAGAAAGATGTCTATCACGTATTAAATTAAAAAACAGAATATCTAACTATTATACCATTCAATAACATGTACACTTGTATCTGCATTTTTAGAGTCTGAAAAGATGTGTACTAAATTATTAAAGGTGGTAATCTCTGGGTGGGGAGCAAGACTGCCTTCTACTTCATGTATTTCTATACCGGTTGCATTTTTTACAACAAGCTTACATTACCACTGTAAACAGACAAAAACAACTTTAAAATGGTCTGCCTCTGGGGTTGGCAACTTACCTGCAAATAAGGTAGCCAGTCCTGTTTAAACCATGAGTACAGTGGACACCAATAAGTTTGTCTATAAAAAGAAAATACAGGTTTAAGTAACTGAAGTAGATACACAAGTGTATAACATTATCACTGCCCTGAAAATGAATAACTCTCAAGAGGAATTGTTTTTTCTAGGAACATACTATAAAGAATCATCTAACAGAAAGCCAAAACTCACTGCTTCTGGGAAACTTTGCATAGTCCCAATTAGACTCAGTGATGTAAACTGCAGGCCTGGTCAGACACTAACAGCTAAAACTGCAATGAGACAAACCCATCTATCTTCAAACAGAATGCCCATCAGCAACTGATTTAATTACACAAAAAGGGAGTGAAAGCAACAACAGGCTAAGAGAAGAATGAAATTTGTTTCTGAATGAAACAAATGAAATGCCTTCACTCTTGATATTGAATATTAAGGACAGTTTCCATAGTACTCTTGAGTTCCCAAAGAACTTCTATTCCTTCTCTTGTTTAGTGCTCCACACACGCCACAGGTCTACTTGCTCTGTGAAGCACTCAGGTAAATAGCACTATTCACATTTTACAATGAAAAGGCAAGGCTTGGAGATGTAAGTCAAAGCAGGCAAACAGTACAAGACTAGAATCAAGTCTAAGATTACATTATACCGCAGTATTTCTTAGTCCATCCTTTTAAAAGCTTATATGAAGAATTTAAGTCTTCATATAATTTGAAAAATTATATGAGGAATTAAATTTAAAAACATGTGGTTTATCTTTGCAAAATCTGTGTCCGTGACTAGGCAGCATCTGGTAAAGAAGGCACTCATCAGCCAGGTGTGGTGGCTCATGCCTGTAATCCCTGCACTTTGGGAGGCAGAGGCGGGTGGGGCGGATCATAAGGTCGGGAGATCAAGACCATCCTGGCTAACACGGTGAAACTCCATCACTACTAAAAATACAAAAAATTAGCCGGGCATGGTGGCGGGCGCCTGTAGTCCCAGCTACTCGGGAGGCTGAGGCAGGAGAATGGCGTGAACCCGGGAGGCGGTGCTTGCAGTAAGCCGAGATTGCACCACTGTACTCCAGCCTGGGCGACAGAGCAAGACTCCGTCTCGGGAAAAAAAAAAAAAAAAAAAAGAACAAAAAAGACAGTTCATCATAATAAAAGAATAAATTATAGATGTGGCTCTATAATTAACCCACATCTTAAGCCACATGCACTACATGTTTATTTTCCTAGAAAACTGTGAACTGCTATAATAAAAAACAAAGACTGCTATCACTTATGTGTCTTCATGCTCTAACAACAAATCTAAAAGGATCTCAGTGTTTACTGAATCAATTTATTTTCTCAGTCCCTACTAGTTCTAGAAGAGAGTGGAGAGTGTAGTGTCCTCTTTTTATCAGTAAGCCTGGTATCTGTGGGAAGGGATTATCGCAGAGGTAGCTAAAACTGATTACAAACAAGGTCCCAAACCTGCTATGGTAGTGGGTACTGCAAGACTTAGACAGTCAGCACAATTCAGCGGAAGACCAACATGGAGTTCAGTCTATCCAACTGACTACAATCAGTGTAAATGTGAACAACTAAGATTTAAAAATGTGTTCTCGTGTATTCATAAGGACCTCCTAGCCCTCACAGAACAAATGAAGTGCTATATAAAAATTTCACACACAAGAGCCTGGAAGCAGTGAATAGGCCATCAGCTGTACCCTCATATCTTAAAAGGTAGTATTTCTGTGACGACAGCTTATACAAATGAGAAAGCCAAACCTCTCAAGTTTTAAAGTTAAAGTACAGGGGAAGATCTGTGAACAAGGTTTAACATAATTAAAAGCTAGTGTCTACATTAAGTGAGTGACTGGGTTACAATTTGAAATTTGATCTTCAAACCCACTGATCCAGTCTCTATCTCTCACCTTCCATTCCCTATCTTCCCACCTCTGTCTCTATTCTTTCTCCACTACTCCATCACATTTTTTAAAAAGGAGTATTTACTGTCAGATTTATGTAATAAAGTGTACACTCCTCAAGCTAAATTTGGAAAGAAGACAAATGCAGCCTTTGTCCTGTGGGTGCCAGTAGCTTTCCAAAGACAAAAGCTTCTTCAGTCTTAAAATATGGCAAATATCATGTTCTTTCTAGCAGGTAGATACCAGAAAAAGGCAACTGGATCCTTAAGATAAAGAACCTATTAAGTTCTATTTTTAAAAGAGTAAGGTAAATCTTAAAGCAGGAACAAGAAAGCACCAGCCTTTGGCTTAAGTTCTCCCGTGTGAAGAATAAGAGGTGGTGGTATCCTTCCCCATCTGTACTCAAAGCAGAAAAACAGCAGAAATAGCTTAAATACATATGACAAAGGGGCAATTTCACTGGCGCGCTTTTTCTTGTTTTGCGTCTGTCCCATTCCTAATCTTTGCCCTTTCCTGTCTCTTTCACATAACTCTAAGATTCAGAGTTTTTAAATCTTTTCTTCTACCTCTCACTTCTTAACAAACATACAAGACAAAAATAACATTTTAATTTTATTGTATATTTCCCATTCAAATTAAAAAAGAGAGAAAGATGAGCTAGTTCAGTTCTTCAGTTCATATTTTGCACTAAAACTAATTTAACTTTCCAAAGCAAGTTAAATTATTTGTGATCAACAAAAGGAAAAACATCTTACCCCAATAGCACCACCTCACATTTTCATCATCTTAGCATCATATATAATGGGTCAAAGGTTAGAACTATAAAAAATACCAAAAATCCCCAACCTCATTCATAATGCACACCGCAGTTCAGATAAGAACAAAAACTCACCATTATCTTTATTTTCTTTCAAAAACCCATTAACAGCGTGTTTGAATTTACAAATAGTCTCGTCATCAGGCACTTGATGTCCAACTGTAAATATTTTTAAGTAAAGAACAGATTCTGGCAAATCCTATAAAGCAAAACCATAAAAGATGTGCATTATTTCATTTGTAGAGAAATAATTAAAGAGTAATTAGGGAACCCAGAATATAAGCCAAGAGATTATAACAAACTTAATACGCCAGTATCAGAACATGCAATTCTGATAAAAGAGCTATTTTTTCCAACACTGACTTCAAGCAGAAAGTATCACTTGATTTTCAATAAAACTACATAATAGTCAATAGGTATACAAAATTGAAAGCAAATTCCATGTGAATGAATGCAAATTTAACTATAAATTATATAAACAGTTCCATTTAATATTTTACAATTCAAGGGCCCGTGCCTTCATAAAGCAGCTATGATTTAAGTAGAAGAGTAGAGAACAGAGTCAGAAGAACTTGGATTTGAATTGTGAGACAGAGGGAATTCCAGGCACTATTGAGAACTGATATCCTTGGGGTGGGAGAAAAGTAGGTACAGATAAAAGACAGAAGAGGCTAAGTGAAAATCATTTTAACCACCCATAAGTGTGGTATAGTTCAGCGGCATTACATTCACAGTATTGTGTAACCATCACCACTGTCTATACCCAAAACTTTTTCATCATCCCCGACAAAAAGACTTTGACCATTAAACTATAATTCCCTTTTCTCCCCACCTCGTAGATCCTTTAGTCTGTTTTCTGTCTCTGTGAATTAGTCTATTCTAGGTACTTCGTAAAAGTGGAATCATATATTTGTCCCTCTGTGTCTGGTTTATTTCACTAAGCATGTTTTTGGGGTTCATCCATATTGTAGCGTGTATTAAATTTCTTTTTTATGGCTGAATGATATTCCATTGTGTGCAGATACTGTTTTGTGTATCCATTCACTTACTGATGGACACTTGGGTTGTTTCCACCTTCTGGCCATTGTGAAAAATGCTGCTGTGAACACTGGTGTACAAGTATTTGTTTAAATCCTTGCTTTCAGTTCTTTTAGAACTGAAGCTCTGAGTTCAAATGGAAAGTATCAGCATGAACTCATGATGTACTTTAAAAACAAACATATTTCTTAGCACCATCCACAGAAAAAGACTAGTAACAGTGAGCCTAGGAGCACTGAGCACCTCTAGCACTCAGACTCTAATCTTTAAATAGCATTCCCACCAAACAGGAATCAAAGCTCCTTGGGAAAATGGCTGAGTTCAGGGTAGAACAGGAAATGTACAAGATAAGCCTGGAATTTTTTTCATATAAATAGCAAAGAAAGAGTGATCAAAGGTACTAGGGTTGTGTCAAAAGGACTCAGGAGACAATCTAACAAGCTCCAACTCTCCAAAGATAGGGCCTCAATTTGTGCTTCAATTAAAAAAAGAGAGAAATAACTACATTCAAGTTTTAAGTCATCCTTTTTCAAGCCTGTTTTATCTTCTGTAAAATTATGTATTAATTGTAACCATTTTATCCTCTGAGCTTAGCAAAGAAAAAGCACTCAATAGGAGATATTAGTACAACTGCTACTTTATCAGCACAGGATTGTTGAGAGGATTAACTACGTTAATACATGTGAAAGCACTTTTTTTTTTTTGAGACGGAGTCTTGCTCTGACACCCAGGCTGTCATGCAGTGGCATGATCTTGGCTCACTGCAACCTCTGCTTCCCAGGTTCAAGAGATTTTCCTGCCTCAGCCTCCTCAGTAGCTGAGATTACAGGCATGTGCCACCCACACCTGGCTAATTTTTTTGAATTTTTAATGGAGACGGGGTTTCACCATGTTGGCCAGGCTGGTCTCGAACTCCTGACCTCAGGTGATCCACCCGCCTCAGCCTCCCAAAGTGCTGGGATTACAGGTATGAGTCACCGCATCCGGCTGAAAGTACTTTTTAAATGGCAAACTGCTGTACAAATATTAACAAATATTAGATGTTACTGTTTCCAAAAGCCATAGAACTGGTCAGAAGAAGGATCATTCTTTCGCACCAAGATGCTAAACGGGGCCAACAGAACATATGAATCTCTGTATTGTATCAACAGATACTGGGAAAAGAAATCATAAACTCAGAAAACTTTCTTTTACATGATGCTTACACATGCTCAAGCAATGGCTTAAAATAAGTGCTAAGAAATATTGGATATTCCTTTCTTTCCTCCAGGCCACTGCTAGTATTAATAAGTTTACTTCATTTTCAAAATATAGAATATGGAAGCTTATAGAATTTCTTAGGCACACACAGAGCCTACTGCCAAATATTTTAGTTCAATTCATGTCTTCAATTTCATTTGAGACAGCAATTAAAAACATGTAATTAAAGAAATCACTTGGTTCTCTTTTAAACTTACTACCCATCAAAGAAGGCCAGGCTTCACGTTAGCACAAGATGATTACTGAATTATTACTGAATTACTATAAATTATTTCAGGATCAGAATGAAGAACGTTCTTTCAATGAAGGGTTCCACTTACCTCCGGTTTATAATAGCGTTGAGTATATGTTAAATCAATAATCAGTCCAAGTTCTTCATTTTGTTCTCGGATTTTGTTAAAAAGATCCAAAGGGGAAAAGCATTCTTCCGGAGCAAGTTTCTTTTCAAAACTCTGTCAGAGAGAATGAAACAAGAGCAAACATGTGCTTAAAATTCTGCACTGCATTAGGCATTTATTCAAGTTCTGTGATGCTAACATATAACGAGATTCAAAGGAAAGTTTCCATTCTCCTGGAACACAGAAGGTATGTTATAACAATCCTTTCTTCCCGAGTGGTCAGAAAGAAAAAAATAAGCCCACTTCTATATGTGTATTTCTGTATTTGTTTCATGTTAGTCTCCTAATCAGACTGCAAACACCCAGATTTTATTCACCACTGTATCTCCAGCTCCAAGTGGAGTGCCTATCATATTTAGTGCTTATAAATATATCTTTCTTTCTTTTTGAAACAGGGTGTTGCTCTGTCATCCAGGCTGGAGTACAGTGACACAAACATGGCTTATTGCAGCCTCCACCTTCCGGGCTCAAGCAATCCTCCCACGTCAGCCTCCCAAGTAGCTGGGACTACAAGCATGAACCACTACACCTGGCCTTTTTTTTTTTTTTTTAAGAGATAGGGTTGGCCGGGCGCAGTGGCTCATGCTTCAAGTGGGCTTCTCCTAATACTAATCTGAGCTATGCTGGGGAAGTATAAGACATGGAATCTAGAAAACAATTACTTGTCTTCACCTTCTCATCGCAGTGGCTCATGCCTGTAATCCCAGCTACTCAGGAGGTTGATGCAGGAGAATCGCTTTAACCCGTGGACTCCCGGGAGGCGGAGCTTGCAGTGAGCCGAGATCGCGCCACCGCACTCCAGCCTGGGTGACAGAGTAAGCTTCGTCTCAAAAAAAAAAAGAGATAGAGTCTTGCCATCTTGCCATGTAGCCCAGGCTGATCTCAAACTCCTGAGCTCAAGCAATCCTCCTGTCTCAGCCTCACAAAAAAATATTTGTTACATGTCTACATATACGATGGCTTTCATTGCTGAATATTCTTTTATGTATGTGGCTTATTTTTGAACTTTGTGCTCTGTTCCCTCAATCTGTCTGGCTACTCAGGGACCAGCAATGTACTTTTTAAAAAATAGACTAGTTTGGCTGGGCGCAGTGGTGCACACCTGCAGTCCCAGCACTTTGGGAGGCCAAGGCGGGCAGATCACGAGGTCAGGAGATCCAGACCATCCTGGTTAATACGGTGAAACCCCATCTCTACTAAAAACACAAAAAAATCAGCCAGGTGTGGTGGCAGGCACCTGTAGTTCCAGCTACTCAGGAGGCTGAGGCAGGAGAATGGCGTTAACCCAGGAGGCAGAGCTTGCAGTGAGCCAAGATCGCGCCACTGCACTCCAGCCTGGGCGACAGAGCGAGATGCCATCTCAAAAAAAAAAAAAAAAAAAAAAAAAAAAAAAAAAGACCTAATTTTCAGAGCAGTTTTAGGTTCACAGCAAAACTGAGCCAAAAGGACAGGCAGTTCCCACGTATACTTTGCCTTCCCCACCCCACCCAGACTCCCCCACTATCCACATTCCATACCAGTGTGGTCCATTTGTTACAAATGAAGAACCAACTTTGACACATTGTTATCACCAAAGTCTAGAGGTTAGGTATGCATGACTCATTCTATGTTATGCACTGTATGTACATATTATGTTATGTATATTTTGCCACACCAAAAAAAAAAATGAGAGAAAGAACTAAGTTCAAGTTTTGATTCTTCCTTCTCTGAGCCTGTTTCATTATCTACAAAATAATTTATTAGTTGTAACCATCTATCTTCTGAGCTTAGTGCAGAATAAGCACTCAGTAAGAGATATTAGTACTACCGTTACTTCATCAGCATAGGATTGTGAAATACATTAATATATGTAAACCCCTTTTATGTATCCACCCTTACAGTATCACACAGAATAGTTTCACTTCCCTAAAAATTCCCTGTGTCTCCAACACCACCTTCTTTTTGGAGACAAGGTCTTGCTCTGTTGCCCAGGCTGGAGTACGGTGGCATGATGACGGCTCACTGCAGCCTTGACCTCCTGGGCTCAATTGATTCTCCCACCTCAGCCTCCTGAGCAGCTGAGACTACATGCACACACTACCACACCTGGTTAATTTTTGTACTTTTTGTAGAGACAGGGTTTCGCAATGTTGCCCAGGATGGTCTAAAACTCCTGGCCTCAAGCGATACACCCACTTTGCCTCCCAAACTACTGGGATTACAAACATGATCCAACAGGCCTGGCCTGAAACGACTCATTTTTAAGCCCAGACACGCAGAGAAGCTGACACAACAGCTGAAAAAGGAAATCTGATCTATGAGTCACAAATTAAGTAAATTCCCAAAACGTTTCAAGTGGGCTTCTCCTAATACTAATCTGAGCTATGCTGGGGAAGTATAATAAGACATGGAATCTAGAAAACAATTATTTGTCTTCACCTTCTCATCTTTTTTATGGCTGTCAAAAGCTTTCCCCTCCTATCCCTCCTATTCCTTTCCTAAACAAAAACACAATCTTCAGATTTTCCTCACTGAGATCCTGACCTTGATGATCTGGGGGATATTTCTGATTGTGACCATGGGAGGAAAGGAGTCCCAATGGCATTCAGTGGGTAAGGGTTACAAATTCTAAACAACTTGCCAAATTCAGGACAGTCCTACAAATGTGTCCCACATCCTGAATTGCTTTTGGATGTCCTATTCAACATTAATATAGATAAAAAGCTGTTCATATTTAGCGTGGCCTTAGAACCTAACTCCATTTCACAAATAAACACAAAGTATTTTTTGTACAATATTAATACATATTGAATTTTCCAGGATAATAATCACCTTATTAACCAAATGAAGATTATACTTTGTTTTGTTTGGAAATCTATTACAGAAACTCCTACCACTAAAGCAATATAAGCCACCTAGATCAGTCTACATTTGTAGTTCTTGAATTCATTGCGCAGGCAACTATGTCTTTTAATGCAGTCATGTCCAAACATTTATATATTGAAATAAATATTATTGTATTATAAATTACTTTTATTTTTTATATTATAGTTAGGGTGTTAATTGGTATTTTTGTTTAAAATATGAAGTAGGTTGTATGTACCTATGAACTTCATTTCAGGATAGTAAAGGGGTCATTACAAAGTATTTGCTATAAAAAGAGAAAATGGAATGTGATAGAGCGGAGAACAGTGTTCTGCATGGTGAACTCAGATACCTGAAAGAATACTGAATTAACTTTTGCTTACCTTTTGCAAGGGAACTTTGAAAGCAATGAAACGAGTCCCAGGCATCCGCTGTCCAACTGGGAGATAGTCTTTCCACCTATTAGATACATTTTTTTTGTTAGGCAAATTGTATGTCAGCCTTGTTTCCTTGCATAGAATAAGACTTCCTGAAAATGGGAATCACAGCCCACAGAACATGTCCTCTCTTCTCTCCGCTTTGCATTTCTCCACTCCACTTATTAAACTCCACCAAGTAACAACCTATACTGCCCTCCTCTCCTGTTTCCCCATCATGAAAACGAACACAAGCCAACAAAACAGTACAACTCAAATAAGGCCTATATAAAACCAGAGATACCCAGAACTCCTGTATCTCTGTTAAACTTGGCCCAGTACCAGATACTAAAGTGCCATTAATACAAACATATTCACTGAAATAGTTCAAATTCAATTATTTCACTTCACGGTTTTAGTTTTCATACGACTGATGACATCAAGTTCAATTAGTAGGAAACTTCAAGTCCATATTTTAAGAGAAAACCTGCTAGAAGAGGGGTTGTGAACTTCACTTAATAATGCTAGGAACTGGCCAGGCGCGGTGGCTCAAGTCTGTAATCCCAGCACTTCGGGAGGCTGAGGCAGGTGGACCACCTGAGGTCAGGAGTTGAGACCAGCCTGACCCACATGGTGAAACTTCGTCTCTACTAAAAATACAAAAAAATTAGCCGGGTGTGGTAGCGGGCGCCTGTAATCCCAGCAACTTGGGAGGCTGAGGCAGGAGAATCGCTTGAAATCGGGAGGCGGAGGTTGCAGTGAGCCGAGATTGGACCACTGCACTCCAGCCTGGCAGACATCCTACTCAAAGAGCGAAAATCCCTCTCAAAAACAAAAACAAAACAAAACAAAAAAAACAGATTGGAAGAAAACAAACAGAAGATTCACTGCAATTAGAACCCAACTGCAATAGATCAGGCAAGACCTGTATTAGGGTACTGACAGAAAGTGACAGTCAAAAGATAGGAGATAAAATGAAGAGAATTTATTGAGGTATGAGATGGTGGAGGATGGTCGCAAGGAGTAAAAACTGTTCACTGCACCTACCTGCAAAGTCTCAAAATTAATCATTTGTACGTATAAAGGAGTATATTTCAAACGAGGCCTGTTAGGAAGTAAAGTATGTTCGTTGTGATTTCTGGAAACAATACAAACCAACTTTCCATGTGAGATCTCAGGGCACTACTACTGCCGGGTTCCTAACTCAAACCATTACCCTTTCCGTGCCAACGTTAACAAGGAACTGAGGAGATTCCATCTTGGGAATTAAGGAGTGTCCCCAACACTAACAGTCCCACCTTAAAGCAATCCTTCCGTATTTTACCTAAGAGCAATGGCCAGAACCTCCCTTTTACAAGAATATGGAGAAATCACAGGACCTTACAGACATCGCCCCTTTCAGCTACAGGGGTGGCGCAGAGGGTCAAAGCCTCAAAGCAAGGGGCGGACAAGTCAAGCTTGCGACGGCAAGAGTGACAGGCAGAGACCACAAAAGATGAAGCCCAGACCCAGAAACCACGAGCTGGAAAGGCCACGCCAAGGGACCAAGACATATTTACCTTTCCGGGATGTGGTTTCCGCCCTTCTTCTTGGCTGAGGAGCGTCCTGAAAAGTCGCGTCCCCGACCCCAGCCACTGCGGGGATGATGCCACTGGCTCATGTGGGTCCCAAGAAGCCGCCCACCCAATGCCAAGCCGGCCAAAAGCGCCAGTCCGGCGCCCTCAGTGCCAGGATAAGACCCTAGACCGGAAGAGACTCGGCAGCCACCCACGCAGCGCTCCAGCGTCTCGCTATTGCGCATGTGCCACCGCCGGTCGTGATGGCGTAACCACGCTGGCTTACTGAGACTCCTGATTTGTAAACAGGACTTTGGTGACTACAGCGCCCTCTTTAACCAGAGGCCGGTAGCACTGGTCAATAAGGGCGTGTCTGCACCCTTCAGAATTCAAACAGTGAGGCACGGGGAAGTGCCTCTGCCAGATCCGTCCCCCGCCCCGGTTCCTTGGGTGTTCTAGATAGCTACCAGTGCTTACATTCACATTTTGCATATTGTGTGTAAATATTTCCCTTCACATACATGTATATCCTCTATTTTTATACAAAAGGAGTAACTGTACATATTCTACAATCTACCTTGAACACTGATTTTCCCAATTTATGCACACATAGATTCTATTTTGTAATGGCTATAGGGAATTTCATTGCTTATGAGTAACATAATTAAAAATACCATAATGTAGTTAGCCAGTTCAGTATTAATGGACCTTCAGTTGTTTTCAGGTTCCTTTCAAATCTTATTACAGACAATGCTGCAATATGAATATCCTTATACATATATACAACTATATCTAAATTCCTAGAAGTAGAATGAAAAACAAAAAAGAAAAAAAAAGAAACACGTTGAATTCTGCTAAAAGTGGAGCACAAAGGACATCATACTCTATAGTAGCTCTGAAAATAGAATAGAGTACTAAATTCCAGATTAAACTGTAAGTAATTATGATTGCAGATTTTTTTTGTTTTTTCTTGAGACCCAGTCTCGCTCTGCCACCAGGCTGGTGTGCAGTGGCGCCATCTGGGCTCATTGCAACCTCCGCCTCCTGGGTTCAAGCAATTCTCCTGCCTCAGCCTCTTGAGTAGCTGGGACTACAGGTGCATGCCACCATGCCCAGCCAATTTTTTCTATTTTAGTAGAGACAGGGTTTCTCCATGTTGGCCAGGATGGTCTCAATCTCTTGACCTCATGATCCGCACTCCTCGGCCTCCAAAAGTGCTGGGATTACAGGCTTGAGCCACCACGTCCGGCTGACTGCAGATTTTTGAAAGCAATTTTTACTTTTTAGTTTCTAATTTATGAAAGTACCTTACATATATTTTTAGTAATCTTTGCAACCATTTTAAAGCTGGGTAAACTGAGGATGAAAAAGGTCAAATTGATTTTAATAAAGCTAGACTGTTAGCTTTATTAACATTTTTGAGACAGTGATTTTCCAACCAGTTTTAAATCCATAAACATTTACAATTCTGAAAATTTTCACATCATGAAAAATATATCAATATTCATAAATTGTTCATTGGAAAAAGAAAAAGGTTAACAGAACATAACAAACTTACAATTAGGAACATTTAATTATTTGTTGTTGTTGTTGTTGCTGTTGTTGTTGAGATGGAGTCTCTCTCTGTCACCCAGGCTTGAGTGCAGTGGTGCCATCTCGGCTCACTGAAACCTCCGCCTCTTGGGTTCAAGGAATTCTGCCTCAGCCTCTCGAGTAGCTGGGACTACAGGCATATGCCACCACACCTGGCTAATTTTTGTATTTTTAGTAGAGACAGGGTTTCAACAAGTGGGCCAGCCGGTCTTGAACTCCTGACCTCAAGTCATCCGCCCACCTCGGCCTTCCAAGGAGCTGGGATTACAGGTGTGAGCCCCCGCACCCAGCCCACATCCAAATTTGACATTAAATTATAAAATATTGTGGCCGGGCACGGTGGCTCACGCCTGTAATTCCAGCACTTTGGGAGGCCGAGGCAGGCAGATCACTTGAGGTCAGGAGTTTGAGACCAACCTGGCCAACATGGTAAAACCCTGTCTCACCAAAAATACAAAAATTAGCTGGGCATACTGGCTCATACCTGTAGTCCGGGGTACTTGGTAGGCTGAGGCAAGAGAATGGCTTGAACACAGGAGGCAGAGGTTGCAGTGAGCCAAGATTGTGCCATTGCACTCCAGCCTGGGCAACAGAGCAAGACTCCATATCAAAAAAATAAATAAATAAATAATACAACATTATTTTGGAAATTATTAAAAAATCCAATAGGTGTATAGTAGTCCAAAACTACAAATGATACAAATGTCTATGGACATGACAAGACACAAAATGTAACATAAATCTTTCAGAAGCTAGAAAAGCTGTATTGGGCTTACCTTTCAGTTTGCTAAAAGACACAATATTGGGGTGAGAACAAACTCAGTTAAAGTTGCCACAAGAAAATCCAGACGAAGGGAGAATAGGATTTCTAGAAAGTAATCAGACATAATAATGAATAACATAAATGAAGTAATATGACATAAAACTAAATGGAAAAAATATATTATGATTATTTCCTTCAGTGTACAGAAGTCATGGAAGTTCTGGACTATCTAGCTACATAAAAAATATTAAATTGTCTGTTCTGTTAATACAAAATAGGTGTGTCGAATTGTTTGTCACAGAAACCAAAAAATTCACACAAATCTCTTTTTTCCTACACCCTGACTTTGCCTGTTTCCTATTCTCCACTAAATGCTTTAACTCTTCATTTGGCCTGGGCTTTGCACCCAAGCATGACTGACAGGAAATCCTAAAGGCCCAAGATTCTATAGTGGCTGTTTGCAAGGGAGAGGAGGCTATAAGTAACAGCCACACTGGATCCTCTTATGTGAGAAGAAAGAAAGTATCCTGAATCCTTCTTGCGTATAAAACAGCGGGAAGGCAGGGCGTCTGTGTGGCCCAAGGAGCCAGAGGTAGCAAACTATGGGCAAAAGAATTGTGACCACAGGCTAGAAGACGGAAGGTCTGCAGTCAGCCTTGTCTTCTACCTCTCTGGTGTTTGCTTCTCATGAGCAGAGTCTGTTTTCCAAACATCAGGACACTGAAAAGAAGAATCCTGCTCTGGAAGTTGACAAGAAGTAATATCCACGAATGTAAAAATGCAAGATCAAGGCTCGACCCAGAAACAATGCCTAAAATCAAGGGGTTAAAAAAGGAGAGCAGGAGAGAGATCCTGGTTCAACCTGGCCCAGCCCAAAGAATGTAGGATTCAAGGAGAAGAAACTAAAAGAGAAGACTCTTGGACCACATCATTTCCTACAACAAGTAGTCAATGAACTTTGCTCCTCAACCAAATTACAAAAGAGGGCTCTTTAATCCCTTCCTTTGGCCCTTAAAAGTGGCAGTAGGGCTGGGCGCAGTGGCTCACACCTGTAATCCCAGCACTTTGGGAGGCCAAGGCGGGCGGATCACGAGGTCAGGAGATTGAGACGATCCCGGCTAACACGGTGAAACCCCGTCTCTACTAAAATTACAAAAGAATAGCCGGGCGAAGTGCGGGGCCTTGTACTCCCACTACTCAGGAGGCGAGTAAGGAGAATGTCTGAAGCAGGA